TATTCATTGTTGGATACATGGTACTCTGATATTTATATTATGATAATATTATATAAAATTATAAATTATTATTATAATGTGATATTAAATAAATAAATATATAAATAATGTTTTTATAGTATAGTGGTTAGTTTATCATTGTAAAAGACTTCTCATGTTATGACTTGATGGTGAGAGGTTCGAATCTAACCTCCAACATTCAAAATAAATAAATATATATATATAATATTTTATATTATTTTATTCAATTAAAATTTTAATCTAAAATTTTGAGATTTTAATTTTTAAATATAATTTGAAACTATAATTGTTTTTAAAAATTGAAACTAATCTACATTAACCTCATATGTTATATTGTAAACTTATAATATCATATTAAAATATAGTATTTTCGTTTATATTACATATTACATCCTTGAAAATTAAAGATGTATACATATAGAAAAGGGGGAAAATTTTGATTTCAAAAGAGTCCAAACCCAGCCCATTCGGCATCGCTTAGGCGTCTGGGCGACGGCCTGCAAGAAGAGAAAGACGATGCCGGTGACAATGGTGAAACTGACCTCCGACTTGATACAGACCAACGTGACATTGTCTCGAGGTCTGAACTGTAGTCTGCTTTCGGTTTCTGCATTCTCCTCTTGCTTTCCCTTCGTTTAATTAAAGGTGATGGGAAGCATCCAGGTGAAACACATTCGGGATGGACCCGAGCTGGTTGATCAAACCGCCATCGCTCCGAGCGAGAACGAGGAGCCGATCGAAAAGACTGGGTCCGAGGCTCTGGAGAAAAGAGGTAGTAGGATCCAGGTGGTGGGGGTTTGAGCCTCTGTGGGGTTGGGAATGAGCGCTGGCTGATAAAAGGCGATGATGGCGCCGACAACGTGGGCAGCAGCTGCTTTTTCAGTTGTTGTTTTGGCTGTGTTGGTGGTGGTGGCAGCTGCGGCGGTTGTTGGATCTTGGGAACGCCGGGACGAATCTCCCACTTGAAGGGAACAGCTCCAGGCTTCTTGAAGGAATCATCTATTGCCATATCTAATGCCTTGACTACTGATAAGCATAGTGCATGGCTGCTTATATAGGCGCGATGTGGATGCAGAAAATGTTAGTTCCAGCGAGATTGAAGGCATAAAAGTGGGTCTAGAATTTGGAAGAGCCGACATGGATAATGGATGAACTTGACTTTTGTCTATAAAGCCAAACAGTTTCAATCATGCTGACAGAAAAAACGTAATATCTAAAAAGATTCAAACATGACTTTTGAGCATCGAATTTGAAATATGAGCATGTGTATAGACATATTCAGAAAATTCACGACACATCCGCAAAACAAACACCATACGTATCAAAATTTCCGTGGGTAATTGATACTGCAACCCCCAAAATTAGCGCAAACCGAGGGCCATCCTGGGCCTCCAGGCCAAGTGCATGTGATGAAATTTAAATAATTTTGGCTCTATCGGAGATGATCGTATATCATGAGCTCCACCATCTGCTCAAATCTAACAATGATGGGCTCTTATGATAGTGTTTCAACGGTCGGTTAGCATGCATAACAAATCAAGAAAAACACAACGTTCATATTGGTCTTACCACTATGGTAGCAACGAGAATCAATTACACAAAGTCAGCAGCCCCTTATGCTTTGTCTTGTCTTCCATGGATAGCTGAGAAAAATCTGATTCCCACAAACACAGGTTACTCTAGGGACTGTAGAATCACCCCAATTTTAGGCATCTGAATGCTGATGTTGGATTTAGGTAGTAGGACTCAGATTTAATGAAGGAAATATAACCTAGTTATAAAAGATTCAGTATGCAGTCATACTCAGTGGCGTGGACATTTGAGTATTTTACAGATTGAAAATTTTTCATAAAGTTGATCTCATACATGCTTCAAAAAGTCCCCACACCTAATAAAACCTAAAGCTTTTCCTGTTAACTTTCAAAAGAGAACTCTTGGGGCATGTTACAAAGGGCTCGCATTGTGTTGCTCGTCACATCCAGCAGCTGCAAGTACTCATCTGCACCATCAACTAAACACTGCAGATCCCATAAGAAAATGTTAGAACCATGCAAAAGAATCCCTACAAAAGATACTGTCTAATCTTTCATTAAGGAAGTAAATATATGCATCTGAAGTTAGTGGGTTTCTGGAATAAATTCAAAAGGCAAGAAAGAAAACTAAACCCATAGAAACACCCTTTCAATATTTGATCCATTTTCAATTTGAAAAAAATAAAACCAATGTGGGCACACGTAAAAAGGCCTCAAAGAAGACTACAGAGATCCTGAACACATATTTGGATTCAATGTAATATCTATAAACTTTGTTGCTCAAAAATATGAGGAACTGAAATCCTCAACATGGGTAACCTGAAAAGAGACTGGAATGAAGACAGAATAATAAAACACAGGAGAAAAGAGTGGAGATAATAGATATGCATCTCCTTCAAGTTATGTTCTCCTTTTATTTATTACCAATGGTGCTGCTTTTACCTCAAGAAGGAAGACAAAAAGTGAAAGTTAAAAAGGGTAATAACTTCTATGAGCTAAGGGAAATCCACAGAAATCTACACAAAGAAGATGGAAGATGAGAAATTGACCGGTCAGCTTTAGCAATCTTTAAATTTCAGGGCTCTGTTGAAAACTAAAAGAAAAAAATTCTTATTTCTGAAAGATACATAATGATTTCTTACTAGAAAATCATAAACTTATTCAGAAATCTCAGCCTTAAACTAGCAGGCATGCAGTAGAAATAAGCCAACATGAAAAAGTAACCTTATCTGCTTCAGCCAAATTCTTGCAAATTCTAGCTTTCTGTTCATCTGAGATATCATCTGCCTCGACAACCACATCAAATAACTGGAAGAAATATTCTATTAGTTCTTAATACATCAAGCAATGACATAGCAGTGAAGCATACATAAAAAAAGGAAAAAATGGAACCTGAGAAAGCATTTGAGAAACTGGATATCCCTCTGCAATAATTTTATTAACTTCCTTGTTTGCCGAATCAAAGTTTCCACTTTTGCATGCTACATAAAGCTCCTCAACAACCTGCTGAGGAATAACCTGATAGATAGAAAATTGAAAGTGAAGTCACAACATATCAAAGTCCCCCTGTTGGAAAATTTTACTCGGTTCTTATTCACCTATGGCAAAACAGATTTCCTCTAATGGTAGATAAAACTTAAAATAGATAAATAAGTAACTAAAACTTAATTAGTATTTTCTGCTAATGGTAACCAAAACTAAGAAATGAATAAAGCAAAGATAGCTAGCTTTTCATGCTATTTATTGACTTATTAAGTCAAGTATTAAAAAACCCAGAAAATATGCCATCTTTGTTTTCAAGGATCGATACTCATTTGGCCTGCAGAGCAACTTTTCAAAAACAACCACCAAAGCTAAGAAGATAAAAGTTTTAAAAAATAATTCTTAAAGAAGCTTAAGTCAACCAACTCAGGCCTCATCATCATGTACAGTGAACTACCCAATTGCAAGGAAATTTAAGGCTTTAACTATCATATAACTTACCCCAGACACACCGATTAGATCCGTAGAAGAAATTGTAGATCCAAACAAGCGAGCAGCTCCCTGCAAAATTCCACACAACAATATTCAACATGTCTTCAAAGATAGAGATTTAATCAAATGGCTAACATGCTAGTCCTTTCATTCAACACTAGGTTACCATTTTTATCCTGGTTTAGAAATGTACAGGTGTATGGTCAAATAAATGGTTTAAAGCTAAATAAAATATTGAAAGGCAAAATATAAATAAATAAATAAATAAGCAACTAGGAGAATAGAAAAGGCAATTTGATTTTTCATGGTTATCAATCAAAATTATAAGCACAAGAGCAGAGATATTAAAATCAAAATAAGAACCTGGAATAAACAGAAAAAGCTTCTTACCTGCAGGTGTGTAATAGCCCTTCGAAGATCACCTTGAGAGATAGAACTTAGTGTTGAGAGAGCCTGCAGCAACACATTGACTATTTTGTAAAGAAACTACTTTGCAATCAATCATTCATTAGATGAGCTTTAAGAAACAAGAATCACACCTCCGAATCTAGACTGAGGCCTTCTTCTTTACAAATGTGCAATATACGGCTGGTCATGATTTCTTCTGATAGTGGCTTGAACCTGAACTTTGCACATCTTGAGGCAAGTGGTTCAATGATCCTATAAAATTACAGAAATTTAAGTCCTAAGATCTGGGTACCTATCAATTATCCAATTTTTGAGATGATTAGATGGGGCAGAAAATAAAATACTTGGCACTTTCTACAAGTTTTAATACTTACACTGATCTAATTTTAAGAAGTCATGATAATAAATAAAAAAATTCCAAAGCCAAAACTGAAAGAAAGAGGCAAGAGAAAAGAAAAACCTTGAGAAATAAACAACGGAAGGAACTTACCTGCTTATGTAATTACATATGAAAAAAAATCTAGTAACTTTTGAGTAAGTTTCCATTGTACGTCTCAAAGCATTCTGTGTTGTCAGAATAAAGGAACATCAGGAACAATCATATTCTTGTTTACAGCTTGCTTAACAATAAAGGAATAGAAATCAAACATGCCTGTGCATCTTCTGTCATTGAATCTGCTTCATCAAGAATAATGATCTTAAATGGCGGACAAGGGTAGCCCCTACAATATAAAAAGAGGGGAAAACCTGAAGTACTTATGCAACGAGCAAGGAGCAATTTTGGATGGACGAATACAAAGACTTTAATACAAAACATTAGAACATACCCTTGGCGCTGACCAGATCCCACAGCCACAGAAGCAAAATTTTTTATCTTTGTCCGAACAACATTGATCCCACGGTCATCACTTGCATTCAGCTCTAGCACCCTAGACTTGTAGAGTTCGGGTCTGCAAAAACTTGCAATGGTTGGATGCTGACATAACAAATACAATTACATGCTGATGGAATGAAATCGAAGGAAATATCCAGTATTCAACATTTTGATATATGGCACAGATTCTGAAAATGACACCAAGTGAAAAACAAAAAATCCAAGTTTAGGACAAGAAGGCATATAGTTATTTCATAGATAAACCAGAGTTCATTGACGGCAAGCATCCAACAAGCTTATAGCTTATGAAATAACGCTAGTATCTTACTCAAAACTACATACTTGTTTAACTATTCATTTTCATCACCAATATCAGAAAGACCCCAAATTTTGGGAATCAAACATACATTCCACAAATTCATTCAAACCCCATTCTAGTTAAATGGGATTAAAAATTAAAATAATAATAATAAGTACCCGAAGAGCTGATGAGCGATGGCAAGTGCAGTGGTGGTTTTTCCTGTGCCAGGAGGGCCATAGAACAACATATGTGGGCACTGAAACAGAAATTTAACAAAAATCAAAAAAGCACTAACATTAGGGTTTAAGAGTTTCCAGACAAAAACAGCAAATTGCATAGACTACAGGTAATTAAGTATCGAAAAGATGATGGGGTTACGTTAGAGGTCTCGAGGGTGTTGGTGAGGACCCGCACCACCTCGTCCTGATGCGCTACATCTTTCACTTGCTTCGGCCGACTGACGATTCCAAAATCCCAAAAAAATACATGTATACTTACAAACGTTTTATGGGATGAGAGCGAAATCAAGAGGGGAAGAGAACGATTTTTGGAAAGAAAGAGGGAGAAAGCTTACTATTTTTCAACCCATGGTTGTGAGCTCTGCAACAGTGGCGCCATCTTCCTGATCGTCGTTCTTTCTGGCTGGGGGTGAACCCAACCCTTTTTCCTGTTTCCCTATTTATATTTGGGGGGAATTTTTCCCGCTTTCTCAAAGCCTATCATAACTACGGTGCGCTCACTACCAGCGATGCCCTTTAAAAAATATATATATCTTTTTTTATAGAGTTTACTTTCCAATAAATTTTCAAAAAAATTGGAATGTGCAATCTAATTATTTTAAATTGTATTATATTAATTATTAAATAAAAATAAATTTTTTAACATTTAAAATGTTTTTAAATAATTTATATTTAATTTTTTTATTTTATATTTATAGGATATAAGATAATAACGTAATAAATATATTTTTTATAATT